GATAGATATGTGGTCATCAGAAATGCCAAGTGGTCTGGATGGAGGCGGTACACAACTGGAGTCCAACACTTTACATTGAGAACTGCAGTGTAACTTGAAGGAAGCCCCCATACATTTTTACTATATTGGAGTCAAAGTGACTGGAAAGGCAATAGATCATGTTCATGTGTGTTCTGTTTAGTACGACCTATGCCCTCCAATGCAGATACCTCACCCCTTTTCATTGAACCCTAAGGGCAGCAATTGCTGAATTCTAACTGGCATTCTACCAAATGGAAAGAAACGGAAACTATGTGCAAAACTGTTCTAAAATGGACTGTTCTTACAGCTCAAGAAGGATAACACAGAGCAACTTAACATTTTGATAGTGTTGCATTGTCTCCTTATCCCCTGCTTTATTTATTTTCCTTCTTACCTCATCTTCCCTCTTACTCAATACTTGTATATGTAACATAAATAAGCTTTTCAAGCCTCTGGCCCACTGTGTGAAAGTGTTTGTCAGCGTGACATGCTGTGCATGATTGGAGAATCCATAGTAGATAATTGGCAGCCACCGCAATGGGTTTATTGGCTTAGACCATGCTGTAGATCAGTAGCCAACTATAGAGACCAAGTCAATAAATCCAATGACTGCAGTAAACCTGTTTTTATTGTTAAACTGAGCTGTCTGTCAGTGTCACATACACTGACGTACAAAACTCTTAAAACTGATATGTAGCATTGGAAATCAGTGGCTTCACATGGTCCTGTCATGCACCCCTGTTTTTCTGGAGGGAAAAAATATATTGTCTATCTATAGATGAGCAAATAATGAAACATTTGCTCCACCAGCAGCTCAGTTGATCCACCACCATGATCCTATTTTTTGGTATTGAATCTTCCTTTTTTTATTAAGCTTTATTTAGGGTATTAACTTCACTAACTATATAACTTGCAGTATCAATAGCAAGATGGCAACAAGCAAATAAAAGTGCCTTCTTTGTTGATACCAGTTTGTATTCCCAGCCTTGGTCCAATGCTTGAAGAGGGAGGTGTTGAGATAAATAGTACAGACCAACTCAACAACCAGCAGCCTGGTCCTCCTTGAAGAAGTACTAGGATTGTTTTTGCACTTCTGGTGTCCCCAAAATGGGGTGCATGAATCCCAGAAGCAGTGGCATTGTCTGCATCCTAAATAATCCATAAGATTCCATGAATCTAATATGTCCAGTGCACCTGCCCTGCCAAGTATTAATATTAAGAGATAAAATGATCCGTGCCTGTTGTACCAGGTGGACACTGACAAAAGCAAAAATCCTTTTACCGTTTTATTGGTCGTCATTCAGCAGTTTTTAGTGAATAGCTTTGTTAATCTGCAGTAAGTATGATTTATGGAATATAAATAAGATTCACCTTATGATCGTGTTTGGCAAATATGTGGCCAGCATTATACTGTACTGGTTTGTGAAAGTTGGGTTACCTGGCCCTTGTATTCATTGCTGCCACAACAGCTTGTGATGGGGAATGCTTGTAGCAGGCTAGACTGCTTATAAAAGCAGAGCCAGTCCAAGAATCTCAAAAGCTTATCAATATTGAGAGGCGCTGTACAGAGTGGCCCCTAAGTACTACGTGTACAGTGTAGAGGCGTGTAACAGGGACACTGGAGTCTACATATCGGGCAGCCAAGGTGACTGCTGTTACAGAGCTAATTATTAGAAGGGAGAAATAGTTTTAGTGAAGAGGCTACAGGAATACCTCATTATTTCTGACATTGTCTATCCGAGGATGCTTAAGGGAAGGATGATCAGCATCTGATCCTTAATCCTGTATTATACCCGTCTACCTCAATTCAACACTTATTAGTGTGCCGTGATCTTCTCCGCACACAGAAGAAAGAGAGAGAGATTAACAGCAGCAGTTCTCTTTTGAGATGCCTGAATGCAGCTCACCATAAAAAAATGAACAGGAGACAAAAAAATAAGTGTGTGTTAGCCATAACCAGTAGCCAGGTGATAGATTTATTTTTATAACCTGTAAACCGACAAATAAAAATGTTAATAGTTGTTATGAGTAATGTTTTCAGTGCCTACAATGCCACAGGACTTCTCGCTGCATTTTACAGATGAGTCAAATTGCTCCTTGGTAATGACAGTAAATTTGTGTTTTTAAAGAAGTTGTGTAGGCAAAATATAGAAATCTCTCAAGTGGTTTATAATAGTTGCATTGGAACCACATTTGTAGGTGCAACAAGAAAGGATTTTTTTTTTTTGTGTTTCCACTATAGTGATTTCCCCTCACTTCCTATTCCTGAGACACACCAGGAAATGAGAAGAATTCTAAAAGTGAGGGGAAATTCCATGGTTGACTGTTCGATCTCTGGATCGGCTATTTCCTTGTACTTTTTGTTTCTAATGGTACTGAAAAAGATGACATTTTCGCTCAGTTCTGTTCCAATCACTATGACAGAAATTGAATCTTCCCAAAGTGGGCACCTGACCGAGTTTTTATCCCTTTCACTCGCTACCCAAAACTAGAAAAAAAACAGTTTTGTCTACAGTTTCACTTTATAATTATAGTTACAGATGTGTGTTTTACCCATTAGTGTCTATAGTTCACAAAGCTCTCTACACCTTCCGATCACCGTGCTTACTTTATCCTTCCTTGGGAAATGCTATATTGTAATAATCACTTGGGAGGGTGCTGCAGAGCAGTGCAATATTCTGGAGAAAGCAATGACTTAAACAGACCTCAGCAGAAAGTTAATGTAGGATCAGTTTGCATGCAACCTGTTTATTGTGGGTTTACCTCTCTGAAAACACACTTAAGCAATCTGCAGCATACACTTGGTAGAACTTTATTTCATTTAGAGTTTCTATATAATCATCATTTATGTACAAAAAGCATTGTTAGATGAAATTGTCACCTAAAATTGTTTATTTAGCCCCCTCTAAATTAGTAAGCACTGGATCACAATACTTGTGAAGGATTATCTGACATCTGGGAACCTTCTATAGAAATTAACCTCTGAGATATAGGTCTTTATATGCTCATAGAGCATCTGGTGTAAACTGATCAAGGTATTTGTAGCTCATTTTGTAAATTGCTTATCAAGCATACTTTCAGGTTTTGTTTTAAGTAGCCCAGTGTTGGTTACAAAAAAATGCAGGGAGACGCAGCAGTACTCACTTTTTCTCTGGCACTGAACCCCACAGACTCTCCCCTTCACTAATTATTCCAATCCCATACCTAGCATTATTTCATTCACTTCCTGGAGTGTCATGAGCCTGCCGCTAGGGGGGCGTCACAATGATTCCCTACACTCATAATGGTTTTGTGATGAAGAGAGCTGTGTAGATGTCATGAATTCAATGGTGATTGCTACATTATTTAGCACCACCTAGTTTCATTCAACCCACTTCCTATGCATTTAGTCCATGATTCCACACCGGACTTGCAGGAAAATGCTGTAAAGAGCCACCACCCTTTTAAGAACCCCCTTTAGGATACACTTGCATTTAGGATCCATCTACTGCTGGAGAAAGATTAGGGTGAAGAGGAGCTGTGGCATTACCAATCTGCACCAAAGACACCTGAAAAAAAGTGTAAATATTGTATATTGATTGATGTTCCCTGGGGGTGCGTCAAGGGTAGTAGGTGGGGAACCGAATCTGGAGTGCGACGTTAAATGGTTAACATTTGCTTCCCTGACCTTCAGGAGCTATTTTAAGCCACAACTTTTCCCACCTTATTGAATCCAAATGCCTTGTGCCAAAATAATGAAATTTCTCCAAAATGTCTTAATTGTTTTCAAAAACTGTAAAAGGCACATACCAAAGGGTACTAACCTTTTGCGGCATACTATTTTGCTGAAATTTGCTTTAATACAGGGCTGGAGCCAGGTAACCAATGCGCCTTAATAATTACAGCCGGCATCTAACTTTTGAGGTTTTCTCTTTCTTTTCAATGGATTTGGCTCCTAAAAAAATCCTGCTGGCTTCTGAATACCTTACCCAACCATTCAGTGTCCGTTGCCCCTCTCCCACTTGCCCAACAAATAAAATTCAAAATATTAACAATAGCATACTTTATCCTATTATATCTGTATGGCATTTTTTTTTTCACTTTATTATACATTTATAAAAAAAAAAAAAATTTAAACAATAGCATGCAAAGCCATCGGCAACTCTTCCTCAAGCTACAACACCAACCTCATCTCAAAATATCACCCAAACCACCCTCTCCACTCCTCCCAACACCTCCTGCTTTTTCGCAACCCCCTGCTTTTACCTCCTCCCATGAGCGCCTTCTCCTACTCTTTCCTCCTTTAGGCCTGGTTCACACCTGAGCGTTTTACCGCGCGTTCCTACGCGCAACAGGTGAAACCCCATGTTTGTCTATGGGCATGGTTCTCACCTGCGCGTTTTACCGCTCGTACGATTGCTCGGTAAAACGCCATATGCCCAAAGAAGTACATGAGCTTCTTTGGGGCGTATTAACGACCGTATCCCGCTGTATCCATCAGGATACAGCCAGATACCCCCTCGGAAACTCGCGTTTGACGCACATTTATTTTACCGCAAATAGCGGTAAACGCGCGGCAAACGCGAGTTTCCAATAAGCTAAGGTGTGAACCCAGTCTAAGGCGATCCTCGAAAACTCATCTCTTCAGGGAATCCTATCCCACCTCCACACAATAACTTCCATCAGCTCATCCCTCACAATTGATACCCTTTTTATCGCTTGCCCCTCCTGCTAGATTGTAAGCTCTCATTAGCAGGACCCTCCTAACCCTTCTGTATTGAGTTTGTTTTGTCTCCCTTCATTTTTTTAAGTGTTGTGCAAGTCGCTGGCGGTATATAAATCCTGTATGATACTAATAATAATTTGTCCACCCCTGCTTTAATAAATACAGTTATTGATGTTGCCATACCTTCTGGAGACAGATTTTGTAGCTGTGAAACAGATTCTAATTGTGATACTGATGAAAAATAACCACATTTACTCTCTTGTCCTACTTGCAGGTATTTGGGTGATGGCCGGTTTCACCTGGAGTCTGTTATGATTGCCAACCCAGACATAAAAGCCTTCAGGTAATTCATGGTGTGCTGTTAAAAAGTGTTTTATAGGTTGAGTAAAGGACTCCCACTATAGGACATATTTCAGTTTAGGATGCTAGCTTGATCCAGAAATGTTTTTATTTTTGCCAAGGAGAAAATTGTGTTGGATTTTCCATGATTATAGTGTAGTTTGCCCAAAAATGTTGGGGGTCAGAAAGAAGCACCTAACTGTACAGAACATTTTTGGTGGCATCATGCATGCAGATCCAGACTATCTGTAAGCAGCTGTAATGCTTGGAATTATGAGGTAACCCATAGCAGCCACAGACTAGCCGTTGTTCCATAATTATACCAATAGTGTTTAATATATTATTTTTTCTGTGAATGAATGCCCATCACAGGGCTCTGCACAGCTTTCAGAAACAATTATAATCTTATTATACCACTGGAAAGCGTTCCTTTTATTCCATGTTTCAGGATATAAATTTTTCTTTTATTCTGTTTTTTTATTTGTACTTGTTCTTATTTCTGGAAGAAAGGGGATTTTGTTTTATATATGTAACATTTGTATCTGCATTGCAAAATATTCATGCTGAGCCGGACTTGTTTCATTATTCTCAGGGTTTAAAGCATTAGGTAGCAGCCTTGCTGCATATGATGCATTTATGAATATGGTGCAGCAAACATGAATAAATGTTTATCGTAAGCTGATGATCAAATTTGATTCCAAGCTTCAAGGCATAGAATGAGCAAAGTTTACTAAAAGGTGTATACTATGTGTAGAGAGCTCAGTGGGGTTTGTTAAATATAAATTTATTCTACACACTCTGCCTTTCATGTTATATCATTGCTCTTAAAGCAGACCTCCTTCCATTTTTTGACAGTTCTCAATTTGAAATCGCATTTACTGCTTTTAAAGTATATTTACTGTGAATAATCAAATGTTCACAGCCTGGCCACATTCCTATTTTAAAATAAATGCATTATCAATGTTTTTAAAGCTAAAATTCAGGTAAACAACTAAATGTACAAATGAAATACATATATGGGAGGCTGTTTTACCTGCAAAAGGATTTTTATTTTTGTCTGCCCGGTCTTGAGATTTGCACAGCTCTGCCACACAGCACAGCTCTGTCTAGGTGAGCAGTAGACCTGATTATTAGTTATGTAACATTAACAGACAGGGCCAACATTAGAAATCATGGGACCCCATAACAGTCTACCTAGGGGGGATTCTCCTGTGTTACCCCATCAGTGCTGCTTGTGATCCAAGGTGAGGCTAGAAGAAGGTGCTGTGTCACAGTGTGCCAGTCTGCAGGCTGACCTCTCCCTATAATGGTATGCTGATAGAAATGATGGGCAAGGCGGTGTGCCCTGCTTACCATATTTTTTAGCTTTCTCCCCAGTCTGCCTCTCTCCTACATACTGCAGCTCCATCCCAGTCACAGAGCTGTACATCCAATGCTCCCTGCCTTGCACAGCAACATGTGGACATGTCCCGGCCATGATGTCAGCTGTCAGTGAAGCAGAATTTCAGTGTTTGCTTCACATGATGACCATCTGCCTAATGTTGAGTAGGTCCCCCTTGTTGCTGCCAAAACAGCCCCGACCCATTGAGGCATGTACTCCACTAGACCTCTGAAGGTATTCTGTGGTATCTGGCACCAAGCCGTCAGTAGCAGATCCTTTAGGTCCTGTAAGTTGTGAGGTGGGGCCTCCATGGATTGGACTTGTTTTTTACAGCACATGCCACAGATGATCGATTGGATTGAGATCTGGAGAATTTGGGAGCCAAGTCAACATCTGAAATTCGTTGTGTTCCTCAAACCATTCTTGAACCATTTTTGCAGTGTGGCAGGGCGTATTATCCTGCTGAAAGAGGACACTACCATCATGGAATACCGTTTCCATGAACAGGGTGTACGTGGTCAGCAACAGTGTTTAGGTAGGTGGTACATGTCATAGTAACATCTACATGAATGTCAGGACCCAAGGTTTGCCAGCAGAACATTGCCCAAAGCATCACACAGCCCTGCGTCTGCCTTCTTCTCATAGTGCATCCTGATGCCATCTCTTCCCCAGGAGGACCTTTCACCTTCAGTTCCCTCATCTGCTTTTATCAATTATCAAGAAGGCAGTGGGCGAGTGCAATAGTGCAATTTAACCTCTTGCCTTCCGCCCGTTGTAAAAAAACGGACGGACGGCACTGCAGCATTGGCGGGTTGCCGTCTCCAGACGGCATTTTTTTTCTGCTCGCGCGCGCCCCCTAGCGGGCACGCACGGGCAGAAAAGACCCGACCATTGCACACACCCGTTACCGGGTGTTTCACATATAGGCGATCAGCGGCTCCATAGCCCGCCGATCGTCTATATGTGCTTGTTCGTGT